TATAACAGATCCTAACCATTAAAAGTCAAGCTGTACTATCTCTTTTAGGTTTAGTGTCCGCATATAGGCAAAGGGGAAATCAGTAATCAAGCTCTAGAAGAAGACGATTACACAGTATCTAATCAATGTGGAAGATTGCAGCGAAAGCATTAGAATATTGTAGAGTTATGTAGTGATGTCTGTATTGCATCAAACACTGGAATGTTATAGTGTAATTAGTGATGACTTTGAGATATGCTTTTAGTCTCCAATGAATAAAAGTACACTCAGGAAGTGATTACATGTTTAGTGTGTCAAAGATGTAAACTACGTTTTTGCTTCACTATATCAGTGTTAAATCAACCTTTGTTGGGTTTTTTTTTCACTTCTGGAAACATATATAAGAGAGTCATAGATGCATAACATAATATAATCATTCAATCAACTAATACAGGGAATAATAAGTATTAAAGATACTACATGAAACATACTTAAAAGAAAGCCACAGAGGCATTACATAATAATCATTCAAACACACAACAGAAACATCAATAAGTTTATAACAGTCCTGAAACAAACAAAAGCCATACTAAACCATAGAACTCAACTAATGAAAATGATGATGATGAACTGATGATGAGAGACTCAACCACGTATGACTCTGATTTTGACTGAGTGAACTTCCTTCCGAACATGAAGCATCTCACAGATGACTGTATCTTGCTTTCTAAGTCTGTTCCTTCTACAAATCCTGTTCCATCCTTTGAAGCAATTCCTATCATCAGCCCACTTCCCTCTTTCCCCTTTCATGACTCCTTCTGCATCAATGTACTTGATGCTGTCTCCAAACGTAAGCCCATGTTCGTTAACCACACTTGCTGGAATCAACTGCACAAAAACAAGACCAACAAAACGTGTGTAAAGCCACAAGGGAAAAGGATACAATAACCGAATCTAAACTCCTCTCTCTACCAGCTCATATGTCCTATGCTTGAGATTGGTAGTAAAGCATGGGTTTCCAGTGATCTCCATACTCGAAACCCCTGCAACAACTGAGACAAAGACATTGGTTTTTGTTTTAATTAGTGACTACCAAGAATTAACATTCTCACCTGCAGCATCTGATACTGTCTCGTTGCTGCTTACAGGGTAGATACTCTTGCTGACTTCTTCAACTTCATCTGAATCAGCATCTATAGAAGAATCTTGTTCTTCATTTTCATCAGAATCAGAAAGCTCCACTGTCTCCACCACTGCTCTTGTCTCTTTAAAACCACTATGACCAAAGACACTCACTTCAAACGTGTGGTGACCATCGTAGACAAAGGTCAAGAACTCTCCATCCTTGAGTTCATGGTCCTCTGCAAATCTGGACCATCCAGATGTGAAATAAGCACAGTTGCATATTTTGATGAACCTCACAGTCCAAACTCCACCTCCAGTGCCTTGGAGCTTAGCTTTCTGTGGAAGTGGATCTTCAAGATACTCATTAAAGGACATGGGGATCGCCTGAAACATCACAAACTTATTTGTAACTAAAAAATCAAGGTTTAACCTTATGACGAGAAACAAATGAGTCATTAAATGACCAAATCAAAAAGAATCTTTCTATGACATTCCCTTGTTCTGTATCTTACTACTTGATGCAGGAAACATGAAAAAGACAAAAACCATTAAGCCATGACTCTCTAGTTAATACTAGAGCTTCGCAAGAGTCTAATAGTATTACTTGTTACAGTGGTGAAAGAGGAAGATAAGTACCATTGATTCAGAGGATGATTCTGAGAAGAAAACCTTGAAGAAACGAGGAATAACATCATTGTCAGACATGGAGGACACTGGAAGTGATGGAGCGAGAGTATAGAAAATGGTTGTTTTATTTGCAAAGAGAGAGAGAGATATGAGAGACTGTGAAAACAGTGAAGGAGAGAACTTATAAACCAAACGAGTCAACAGAAATGAGTCGAAAGTTTTGAAAGAAAAAACAAAGTTGTACTTGTACATATCATGTTGAATACATGAGCCAAAGTTTATTAACTTATTTTTTGTTTCTGTCTCAGAACATACTATAAGTAGTCTACTTTGAGACTGGTGCAATGTTACTTTCCGTTTGAATTGTACTAACATGTTGAATATATAAGTCACGTTTCTTTTCTGTCTGATCACTCTGTGCACCATCAATACACGTTATCACATTGTCTCAGATATCTATGCATCCCTGAGGATGAGTTTATTAAAAGAAAAGATTATCCTGATCTTCTTTTCTTGATATTGTAATATGAGATACTGAGTTAAGACAATATCATAGGGAAAATCGCATAAAAAACCTTCAAAGTGAAACTTATTAGAACTTTAAACCTTGAAATTTTTTCACTAGCACTTTAAACCTTTAATATGACATTTGTGTCACAAAAAACCTTGTACTAGAAAATCTGACCTGTTGAACAGGTAAAAGAGGTCACTTATCAGTTTTTTTAAAAATAAAAATTTAATCAATAATTAAAAAATTAATTAAATTTTCAAAAAAATAAAAAAAATCAGAACATAAAGAAAATTTTATAAAAAAAAAAATTTGAAATACCAAAAATTAAATAAAATTCTAAATTTTTTTTAAGGAATTAAAGAAAATTCACAAATTGAACAAAAAATAAATAAAAATCAAAAACTAAATTACATTTCCAAAAAATTAAATAAAAAATCAGAACATAAAGAAAATTTATAAAAAAATATATTTAATAAATTACCTATTTTATTTATTAGGTTTTTCCGAGAAATAAATATTTAATAAATATTAATATAATAAATAAGCAAAAAAATAAATCAATTTAATTTTCAAAAAAGTTAAAGAAAATTTCAGAACAGAAAGAAAAATTTATAAAAAGAAAAAGAAATTGAAATATTAAAAATTAAGTTAAATTCAGAAAATTAAAAAAAAAATTAAAACAAAATTCACAAAATTGAAAACTCAAAAGTTCAAAATAATTTTTAGAAAATTACAAGATTATGTTTTTAACTATTTGAAACCATGAACTTCAAAAGTGCTATGTTTGAAATTTTTATTGTCAATGATGATATGTCAATTTTATTGGAAAATTTTATAAGAAATACAACATTTTATTTTTAAAAAATCTGAAATGTTATAGTTGAGAATAAAAATTTCAAATATATCACTATTGACGATGATGGTTTCAAACAGTTTTCAATTTTTTTAAATGTTTCTTTATGCTCAGAAATTTCTTTAATTTATTGAAATTTTAATTTAGTATTTGATTTTTGTTTTTTTTTTGTTCAATTTTTTTGAATTTTCTTTAATTTGTTTTTTAATTTTCGGAATTTTATTTAATTTTTGGTATTTCAAATTATTTTTTTATAAAATTTTTTTTATTTTTTTATTTTTTTTTTTTTTTATTTTTTAAAAAATTTAATTAATTTTTTTATTATTGATTAAATTTGTATTTAAAAAAAACTGATAAATGACGTGTTTTACCTGTTCAACATGTCAGATTTTCTAGTTCAAGGTTTTTTGTGACACAAATGTCACTTTAAAGTGCTAGTGAAAAAATTTCAAGGTTTAAAGTGCTAGTAAGTTTCACTTTGAAGGTTTTTTATGCGATTTTCCCCAATATCATATAAACTAGTTTGATTTAAAGTTTCTCTAAGCAGAACTGATAATATTACTGTTTTTACTTATGGGTTACATTACATAAGAATCTAACATGCAGGGTACGTTCTATTAAAACAAAAGAAGACAACACAGCTCCATTAACTAATGATTCTTTATGACATTATCATCTTGATTCCATCACCCCTCAAGCTGATCCTCTGCATTGATTTTGGAATACAATTTGTTTTGCAGTTTTGGAGACGAGGCAGAGACAAGCCTTGAACCTGCTGCCTTAGTTTTTGAATTCAACGAGTCTTGTATCAGTGACTTTCCAACCTTCTTACCGGCAGATGAAGATGACCCCTGTCTACCCTGTTTAACAAATAGAGAGAGAGAGAGAGAGACATCAACTACATACTCAGATTCCAGATAGAAATAGATCAGAGAATACTTGCAGAGCTGGTTTCAATCATGAAGAACATCAAAATTGCAAATTAGGTCTCTACTTTTGTCATGAATCTTGGGAACTTACTCCATCAAAGAAGCCGATTTTTGGTGTTGGCACACGGAGACCTGACTGTTTCATGGAACCTGGAGGAACCAAACCCCCATTTATAGCTGAAACTCGCTTCATGCCTTCCTTGCCATCAGCTTGAACAACAGATGCATCTTTAGAGTTCTTGAGAGACCTCACAGTATCATTTGCAGGAGCCTTTTCACCAGAGACAGGTTTCTGGATACTTCTACCCGTTTGGCTAGTTGCAGAAGCTCGTGATGACTCTGATGAACAGTCACTGAAAGAACCAGTAGAGGAAAGGTTGGACTTGGTTGTCTTCTTGGTTGGCTGAGGTGGGATTCTTGGCTGGCCCATACTACCTCTAGCTGTAGATTTATTTGCCAATGACTGGGAAGCTATTCTGGAACTTGAAACATTCTTCTTCTTTATCGGATTAAGAGAAGATTTGTGAGACGCGCTGGATGAAGCAGCACTGGCACAGCTCTCTAGCGAAGAGCAGGAAGATGTCAGTTCATTCTTTGAGGCAGCTGAACCACGCAAAGTTGACTTAAGCACAGCAGGTTTTGGCATTGTGGGTCTTCGTGAAATGGATATTCTAGGAACCAAAGGCTCTTTACCTGCATACTTCAAACGTCATAAGCATGGACGAAACAGACAAGTAATACAAACCTTTAAGATAAAGAGTTCAGAGACTAACCAGCAGGTAGTTTGGAATCTTTAGTTTTGTTAATATCTAGGGATGCCCTGCTCGTTGATGTAGTTGACAAGAGCCTGACTTTGCCTAGTCTGTTAGGTGTCTTAGAAACAGATGTACTGAGACCTCTTGTAGCAGCAACAGGCTGTATAAAATGAATCGTTGTAAATCATCATACATCAGGTAAGCCAACACAAAGTTATGACAAGCTTCTAATTGTAAATTTAAGACAGTTGTCACAGTTCAAGTCCATTAACAACCAGAAGAGCACATTACTATCAAATTGTCAGATAACACATAAATCATGTAGACTGTAGTTTAATATGCACCTGAGAAAGTGAATGAAGATGATATACCTGTTTTGTTGCCTTCCCTGTTCCGTTTGCTCTAATACTCAGCTTTTTAGGACTGGCTTTCGGTTTCATCTAAGAAAAAAATAAATCGAAGAACGGATTAGGCGAGGAGGAAGGTCAAGAAAAGGCACTAGGCGCAGGTGTTATCAGATTTACCTTCTCCTGAGATGCAGGGACGTCCACTGTACCTGAAGTTGGATTTCAAACGCGGTATGCAAAAGATGGTTAACTTGGAAACAAAACTTAACACAATTGTAAACACCTATAAACAGTAACTTCCAATGACACAAACTAAAACACAGTAGCTATAAGCACTTCACAAAGTAGATGAAAAACTTGTCATCCAAAGGTAGCTCACATTAAGTACTAGCTCTCCAAGAACCATAAAGAGATGAAAAAAAACTGATTCATCGTGAAGGCCCTAATGGCGGAGAAAGCACAAACACAAAATAAAAGGTAGACCTACTGCTACGTGGAAAGCCACTAAAAAAATAAAGCCCGAGCTAAACAATAGAAGCTAATTACACTCAAAGATGAATGCTAATGTGTGGTAAAGGCATATATCCTCTTAAACAGGCAATTGCTAGTTCCTTTAACACTAAAAAAAAAGACTTACTTGGGCTGGTAGCTACTTCAGTTGCTCCCAGTCCATTACTTTCTCCAGGTGTAGCAGCAAAATCAGAAGCTTTAGCAGACCTTTGAATAGACGCTCTAACATCTTCAAACAAAACAAACTCCTGACTATTCTCCACAGTGCAATCACTTCGAAACGTAGAAATAGATTCCGTAGATCTATTAACATCCTCTTGGATAGTCGCTAAACCCTTCCTCTCACTCTTATGATTGCTTTCCATCATACTACACAGCTCTTCAGGCTCCAAAACACCTGGATTTTGACAACACACCAATTAGCATAAGTAAGCGAATAAACACAAGGTTGAAATACACTTGCCTTCGCTAGTGAAGAAGGCATTGTCCCAGGCAAGACTTTTACGCAAATTATACTTCCCACTCTTCACCACTTTCTGAGGCTCAGGGGACTCCTCACGTGGCTGAAACACATCTTCTTTATCTTGTACTGAAGAGATGAGTATCATCTCTTCAATCCAAGACTCGGTTTCTTTCAAGAAAGTTTGTTCCTTTTCATCGTTTAAACACTTTTCATCCTCATCTGCTTCTGATTTTCACCAATTACAAAGAGGGTTAGCATAAAGACCAAAACTTTACCAAGCAAAACCCAAAACCCATCTAAAGCCCTAAAATCAAAAACCCTAATTACCGGAAAACTCGTAGCTGGTGGGATTGGGGAAGGAGGAGAAGAGGAGACTATCGTCCTCAGCAGAGACGTCAATTAGACCAAGGCCATCGACCTCGCCCTCGCTTTTCTTGTTCTCGTTGTCTTCCATGAACAGTGAGAGAGAGAGAGTTAAAGAAGACAAATCGAAATGGTCAAAGATCCCTAATTGAGGAATAAGAAGAATGAGATTTGAATGAAGATTGGTTTTTTTGTCTTCCCCCCACTAACAGAGATCGAGGGTTTTTGAGTGAGTGAGCGCGGTTGGTTAAGATTCTTCTTTAATCCCCTTATGCCTTGGATCGATTCTCCATCGTTGGATCTTTTTCTGCGTTTAAATTTCTCGGTTTGATCCGGTTATTGTAATTAGTAATACGACTTCTCGGTTCAACCTAACTTTTGAACCAGATTTAAAAACCTCAACTAAACCGTATCCGTGTATCCCCTACTGCTCGTACATTTCACCAGAGTTCAACTTCTCCTATAACCATATTTCTTTAGAGTCAATCTCCTTCCTATACCCATATTTTTTCAAATTTCAAAAAATATATTTTAAAATCATTTTTAATTATATTTTAATGATTTTCACGAAAATATGATTTTTTTTTGATTTTTGAAATATTTTTATCATCTTCTACAAATTAAATAAAAAAATATTCACGTTTCCAATTTAATTTTATAATTTTTCATTTGACATATAAAATTAAAATAATAAATGTGTCCTAGAGAATGAAATATATGAGCATAAGAGGAATTGTCTCATTTCACCACAATACTAAACTCTTCCACCATAACGATTATTATAATTGTTCTTTATGAAAAAATCGACAGAGCAAGCAAGTGTAGATAAAGTCAATAAGGATTCTTCTTAAGACCAAACGATTTGAAACTAAAACAATCAAATGTATAAATAAAGAAAAACATAAGTTGCTTCTCGGTTCTTTATCTTCTGAGAAAACCAAACTAACTTGTCGCCTACAACACAAATCATATACAAATCTCCTCGCTCCAAAACTGAGATACCACCATCCAAATCTATGAACAGTGGATCGCTCAGATTCTCAGAAACAAGAACTTATGAATAGTTGAATCCTCGGAGATTGTGATGAATATTGTTCTAAGACTACTCTGGGTTCGGCATTTGAACCATCATATGCGAAGCCTGCAGTCGCAACAAAATTACAATCAATTTTTTTTTTCTCTACATGTTCGTGGATTACATTATACATGGTCCAAGATGCTTGATGCTGTTCAAGTAATTCAAATCAGTATGGGGGAGTTCAGAAATGTGGAATTTCAAGTTCATGCACTCTAGGTGATCTGAAAAAATGGGAATATGCATATAATAGTCGATGGCTGATAAGTGTGGTGCAATTAGAAACTTTGAAAAGGATCATTGATCTATAAGCTTTTGAGAAATTTATATAATGTTATGGTTATGCATACACAAGGAATGAATCACATGAGTTAAAAGCTCCAGGTGAGTCAGAACAAACTCTTTTTCTACGTTCTATCATTAAACTATTCTAAGCATTCTTGTGTGTACTCTTATACCTTATCAACGTAAAGTATATATACATATAAGTAAACGTAACTTTTTGTTCAAGCGAAAGCACTTACTTGAGAGTTTCCATAAGGACCTTGTGGGAAAGAGCCTTGGTGACCAAGCTGCTGAAACTGTTCATAAAGGTAAAGACAGGTAAATTTTAAACTAAGCTCACAAAAAACATAAGAAGAAATCACAATTTAAAAAGAAGACAATATCAGTTGGAGAGATTACTTGGCCTGATTGACCATCTCTCTTAGCACTCGATTCCCCACCTTTTCCTGATCCCTTGTTGTCACCCTATTAAACATATAACAATGGCAGAAACAATCCTAATGAGATACGATACAACACATGCCTCCAAAAGAAGAGCCACAGGTATAACCGAATTTACAGAGAGACTGCAATAATATTATGAAAAAAGAAACCGACCTCCATCTGCATGATTCCAATCCATATATGCATACAAGAAAAGAAAAAAACAGAGGGTTAGAGTGTTATCTATTCTAGTGTGAAAACTATCTTCAAAAGGATACTGAAAAAGCTGAATGGTAACAACATACCTCTCTGTATCTACTCAGGTAAAGCTTGAGTGGTTCAACGTACTCTTCAAATCCTAAAGTAGTCATAGCCCAAAGCAAATCATCTCCATTAATAGTCTTCCTCTTCTCTCTTTGACACTTATCACTCGCTCTGCTTGCCAAAACATACACAAACACTCATTCAAAAAACAACCTTACTGCATCAAACAAACCCTAGCTAAACAAAACTATCTCTTTATAACAATGAAAGGAACCAAATTTAAGGAATGTGAAACAGCATATTCCATCAACCACCCACCCAACAAAATCAAATATTGATGCAAAACCCTAAATTTCCAAATTCCAATTCAAATTTCAAAAACAACCTCACTACATCAAACAAACCTATCTCCTTATAACAATGAAAGGGACCAACTTTAAGGAATCTATATATATTCCATCAATCTCCCAAATCTTGATGCAAAACCCTGAATCCCCAATTTCAAATTTCAAAAAATCCAATTCATTACTCGCTAGTGATGAAGCTAATAAACTCAGACACACATTCCTGCATAGTCTCTTTAGCATCTTTAGCAATCTTGCCGTTAGCAGGTAAACCCCTCTTCATGATTCTGCTTATGTTAGCGATCGGGAGAAACCTATCCTGCTCACGAACATTCAACGACCTCGGGCTCTGATCTCCGCCGCTCTCGTGGCTCCCTCCTCCTACTCCTCCGGGACTCATCCCCGACGACTTCGCCTGCGAATCCGCCATCTACCAATACAAACAAAAGAGTGGTTAAAACAACATTCGAAACAGGGGATTGATTGAGACAGAGAGAGTTGAAGAAGGAACCTGAAAGCGAGCGCGCGAGATGGTGATGATTTGAAAAAGGCGGGAGAGAGAGAGGATGATCGGAGGAGAAAGAGAGAAGATTGATCCGACGCTGGAGAAGACAAGAGGCGAGAGAAGCTCTGCGATTGAGCGATTAGGGATTTAGACTTTTTTATCACCGTCCATTTATTATTATTATTATATAATAATACAAACGTATATACTTTTTTATACCCTTCTCTTTTTTTTTCACTTTTTCTGCTTCAATTTTATGGAAACATATTAAAATTAATAAGCATGCGGTTTGGTAATTTTGGTTCAGTCGGATCGGTTCATTCGGTATATTAGTCGGGTAATTCAATAACTCAAGAAGCTGCCAAATTGAATTTAAATAAATTACGGTTTGGTTCGGGTTAATTTGATTTTTTTCGTCTGAATCAAATTTTTAAATTTTCTTTCATTTTGATTAAAATTCAGTTGGATTCGGATAATTTTGACTATTTTCGATTCAAAATGTTAACATAAATATATTTGGTTTAAAATAAAATGTGCTAACCAATTTTTAACCGAACTGAATTAAAAATAAAGAAAAATTCATTTTTTTGATTCAGTATGGTAATAAATTGAAAAACTAAATTAACCCGAACCAAACCATAGACTCATCCATTAACTTTCCAAATTTCTAGTTTGAATATTTAAAATAAGTTAAGGGTCCACATTTTGTGCAGACTAATATATATTTAACGAGTAAAAAAAATCATTCCTTAAATAATAATATAGATTAAATTCGAATAATTTCGAATATTTTTGGTTCACAATATTAGTATAAATCGATTTGGTTTAAAATATAAAAAAATGAGCTAACTAGTTGTTAAATGGAACTGATTCGATAAATTTATTAAATTCAAAAATACTTGAACATAATTTGAAAACCAAAAATTTTGGTTTGATGCATACGAAAATTACCATAACATTACTAAACAATTTAATATTCAAACTAGAAATTGTTAAATCGTAAATAAGATGTTTTAAATGTCTACAAAAAATGACGTTGTTTGATTAATGTTTAATTAAAATTTTAAAATAACACTGTTTAAAGAGTTAACAAACATCTATTATTTTAATTGAGTTCAAAGTTGACTATACGATTTTTTTAATAGCTAAATCAACAAAAAATTAGAGATAAAACGAGCGATATTTGAAATCTTAAACTTTTTAACTCAAACATGAATTTAAGCTGTTTTGTTTTGATTTGAAAGTTAATGGTTTTAATAACCGTTTTCTCAACTATTTAAGTAAAAGTTTTACAGTAAAATTCAAATATATTATTTTATTTTATTTTATGCTGTAGGTATTCTTTCCAATCTCTATGCATTTCACCACTCTTCAGTTTGGTTGTTTCCACATTATTATCTACACCTCAAAAACTGCCATGTTGAAAACTAATAAAATAGACAATGGAATTCATTTCGATTCATAGAAAGCATTGTAGTTTATTGAGTTAGTAAATTTCTTGAATGCAAAATATCACTTCACAATAAAGTTTTCAACACCAAAAGTGGCAACACTTACAAGAAGAAGAGAAAATAAACTTTTAGAAATCAAATCGAAGTTTACAAATTTACAAACAATAGCAATGCCAATTTTTCAACCTCTTAAAATAGAACCAAAAAGAATCATTATTACTTGTGGTTTTTCTTGAGTAACACACCAAACTTCTTCAACATTTTACCATTCTCAACAGAATCCATTCTCTCTTCCTCATTGTTCAGTATAGAAGCTGCCGTCTCAGCAGCTTTCCTCCATTGCTCACACTGAACCTTCACTCTTCTTAGCTCAGCTTCCATGGCTTCAAAAATCCTAAATCCCCAATTCAAAATTTCAAAAAAAACCTCACTGCATCAAACAAACCTATCTCCTTATAACAATGAAAGGAACCAAAATTAAGGAATATGAAACAGCATATTCCATCAACCTCCCAAACAAAATCAAATATTGATGCAAAACCCTAAATCCCCAATTCAAATTTCAAAAAAAAAAAATCACTGCATCAAACAAACCTATCTCCTTATAACAATGAAAGGAACCAAAATTAAGGAATATGAAACAGCATATTCCATCAACCACCCAAACAAAATCAAATATTGATGCAAAACCCTAAATCCCCAATTCAAATTTCAAAAACAACCTCACTGCATCAAACAAACCTATATCCTTATAACAACCTATCTCCTTATATTCCATCAAATCTTGATACAAAACCCTAAATCCCCCATTCAAAATTCCAAAAAAGGCCATTCATTACTCGCTAGTGATGAAGCTAATAAACTCAGAGACACATTCCTGCATCGTCTCTTTAGCGTCTTTAGCAATCTTGCCGTTAGCAGGTAAACCCCTCTTCATGATTCTGCTTATGTTAGCAATCGGGAGAAACCTATCCTGCTCACGAACATTCAACGACCTCGGGCTCTGATCTCCGCCGCTCTCGTGGCTCCCTCCTCCTACGCCTCCGGGACTCATCCCCGACGACTTCGCCTGCGAATCCGCCATCTAACAATACAACAACAAAAGAGTGGTTAAAACAACATTCGAAACAAGGGGTTGATTGAGACAGAGAGAGAGTTGAAGAAGGAACCTGAAAGCGAACGCGCGAGATGGTGATGATTTGAAAAAGGCGGGAGAGAGAGAGGATGATCGGAGGAGAAAGAGAGAAGATTGATCCGACGCTGGAGAAGACAAGAGGCTAGAGAAGCTCTGCGATTGAGCGATTAGGGATTTAGACTTTTTTATCACCGTCCATTTATTATTACTATATAATATTATCTATTATTATAAAGAAGAGTTTCCCTACTTATAGGTGCGCCACGTCACTAATTAACTCATACTAAGTGCGACACCTGTCTTTTTCTACAAAACTCAGTGTTTCAATAAACAAAAGGTTATTTGTGGGCTTATGTTAATCATACGAATTAAAGCCCACAAACTCAGAAACCCTTTTGTCTTCTTTATCTTCACGCCGCAATTAGACTTCTTCTTCTTCGTTGTCCAAAACCTAGAATAATTTTTTCTACTAACTATGTCACCATCAATGGCGTCTCTAGAGATTGGATGACTGAAATTCGACTTCAAGCATCTATTTCTTTGTCTTACTCGCATCGTTTAGCTTTCACTTCTAACCAACCGAAACGGTCCGGATAACAACTTAATCGCCTTTATTGCATATTTAACTCCACAGATCTACTTGAAGCACGATCTAACATTGATTGTGATTATCCTATACAAGACGGTTTATTCTATACCTATAAAAGGTTAGATTTTTTCACTTAAAATATCATCCTTTAAAAAGCTCTCTTCGAGTTTTTATCATGTTTTCAATCTAAGAAAATTTAGATTCTTTATTGGTTTCTTGCTATTCTCTTCAGTTAATTTCTTTGTTTATAATCTTCATTTTTATGCTCTTTGAGTTACTTTATAACTGAATCGTTTATGATTTTGCAGGATATTCTAAGTCTTATGCCAGAAGATACAATTTTGGATGTTCTCAAACTTTTGGTAAGGAATCCAACACTCAGCACGGTCTTTTTGATTTCTATAGGCTCTTCGAATATGTTGTTTCACGATGTCTTAATGTAAATGTTTATTTTTCTCTGTAGATGTAAAAAACCTTCCGATTCTCATACATTTTAAAGTCAGAAATTTAACACAGGCATCAACTCCTTATTGCTTTCTGTCTCTATTTTTGGGAGAAGTTATTAAAATCTTTGGTGGTCTTTTATGTATGTGCAAGACATAAGTGTTTCGTGTGGTGTTTACGGAAATTTCAAGGCTGCTTTATATCATTGGTACAACAATTTGCTTAGCTTCAGGTTCGTTTCTTGAAAATAAACTGTTTTGTTCATCATCATTAAAGCCTATATTAACATTTTTCTCTTTCTAAACATGGTTGTTCGAGGTGAAGTAGGAACTGTCAGTAGCCTTGAAGAAAGCAACGGCATTGTCATCACAGAGATGCCAATCAATGTATAGTAGATTTATTCCATGATAAAGCAATAAACTTTCTTCTGTTTTTAATTTTGATGATTGACTTAAAATGAGCATTTCAGGTTTTTGAGATATTATAACAACGCAGAGTTTTTACAATCTGAAGGATCCCATCAAAGTTTGTTTGTTGGCTCTTATGTTATTATATGTTACAATTATATGTTACATGACCTTCTCTGTACAAATTAATAGTTTGTGTTAAGCTACATTTGATAAAAAGAAAGTGTTCAGCTACATAAGATGTCTCTATGCTGCAGTTAGCCATTAAATTGATCACTTTGGTCTACAAGTCTGTGTTTTAAAGTGGAGACAACGGGATTTGAATTTCATAGAGGCATTTGATATCGTGCTCTCACTGCTAATCATCCAAGAAATTTTAATTAAGAACAAATTTAATTAGAACTTTCTGGCTCTCCCTAAAAACGTCCACCTCTCTCTCTCAATACTAAACTAAGTTTAAATAATGTACTAAAAGTTTTTATTATTTCACTTCTTAATTATAAAAAGAAAATGATCAGATGCTAACGCAAAACAAACAATTTTCACAAAGGATCGACCAATTTCTGTGAATTATTTTTTCTTTACGTTAAAGAATAAATATTGTTGGGACAAATATTTTTCAAATTCATCAAATTCAAGCCAAAGAAAAAAATGAATGTATCTAATTGAAGTTTATCCTTTTTTCTCACCAAGTTCAAATTTAGATAAATTAAATATTTAATAGAAAACCACAGCCAAAAAAATAACACACAATCAAAACATAATATTTTTTTACAAAATTATTTTAAAATAGTTAAATATAAATAAATAAATAAAAAAATTAGGAAAATACATAGTATAACAGAATTATATAATATAACACAAATATATAGGCCCATCTGATCGGATAAAACACACATAATGGATTAATTTAAGCGACCGAATCGCCGTAAGCCCCAGTAACAGCAGGTGAAACGACTGTTCTTATGCTTAAAGATTGGAAGCAGTGTTAACTTCCGAACAAACGGCTCTGAATGAACCATTTAAAGCAGTCAAGAAGGAACATTCTCCTTCAGAATCAGTTTCTTGGGTGTCACTACTCACACCTGAAGCTACACCATAGGCAAAATCAAATAAGGTNTGAGCCTCAGTTATGATCATTCACTTGAACCACCAGAAGAAATAGAACGAGATAATAGCTCAAATGAACATAATGAGAAAGTTGAGAAGATTCCAAGATATAAAGGGACGTTTGTTATTTTCATTGGTAAAAGCATGGTGATTAATTACCTTAACGTCTATATCTATATGGTTAGTTTAGTAGCATGTTTATTGTCTCTATGACGTTGAGCATGTGATTGTCTGTATATTGTTTGCTTACCATTGAAGAAGGTATCTGAACGAATACAAGATACAACACCAAAAACACTAAGCTCCCCAATTATTATATCAAATACATTTTAAAAAACTTCAAACTTCACTACATTGAGACATAACATTTATTTTAGAATCTAAATAACAAGTAGGGGTATATCGTGTCTTTAGAATCTAGGTACCGTGTAACTTATATCCCGCCCGTAGGGCGGGTTTATCCTAGTTACTATATAATACAAACGTGAAACGTATATACTCTTTTATACCCTTCTTTTTTTTTCACTTTTTCTGCATCAATTTTTATGGACACATACTAAAATTAATTAGAATGCGGGTTGGTTATTTCGGTTTAGTCTGATCGGTTCGTTTGGTTCAATCTGTTAATTAGGCCTGGGCATTTTCCGGTTCGGATCGGGTTCGGATCGGGTTATATCAGGTCCGGGTCCTTCGGGTCTTAGATATTTAGATCCAATTTGGTAATTAGACTTTGTCGGTTCGGGTCCTACCGGGTCCATGTCGGTTCGGGTCTTATATAGTTAGACCCAATGGGGTAATTAAAATTTATTGGTTCGGATTCGGTTCGATTTCGGGTCGGATTCGGTTCGGGTCCTACCGGGTATGGCCCAAAAACATACCTAAAACACAAAAAATACTGGAAAATATTTAAATACCCAAGAAATACCCAAGAAATACCCAAAATTTTACACAAAACCTAACCCGAATACATAAAAATATCCAGAATTTTATCTGATTATTCGAATTATATTTTAAAAAAACCTAAAATTTTACTTAAAACCCGTAATTATATCCGAAAACCTAAATCCAAAACATAAAATAATACTCATAATACCATAAAAATACTAAAACATATATATATACATAATATATACTAGATGTTTTGGATATTTCGGGTACCCCATCGGGTCTCGGACTCGGGTCGGTTCGGGTCCAAGACCCGCGGGTCCTCCACATCAAGACCCAATAGGGTAAAATGATCGGTTCGGTTCCTACCCGAACCGCACATTTTCGGGCCGGTTCCGGGTCGGGTCTTCGGGTCCGGGTAAAATGCCCAGGCCTACTGTTAATTCAATAATTCAAAAAGGCTGTCAAATTGAATTTAAATAAATTACGGTTTGTTTCGGGTTAGTTTGATTTTTCGTTTTTATTACCAGACTGAATCAAATTTTTAGATTTTTTCATTTTGATTTAAATTCAGTTGGATTCGGATAATTTTGATTATTTTCAGTTCAAAATATCAATATAAATAGATTTGGTTTAAAATAAAATGTGCTACCAATTGTTAACCGAACTGAATTAAAAATGCATGACATAATCTGAAACCAACAATTTTGGTTTCATATACCTAAATTACCATAAACATTATTCAACAATCTATATTATTATTTAAGAACTGAATTTGCTTATTTGTTAGATATATATTAGTATGCACAAAATGTGAACCCTTAACTTATTTTAAATATTCAAACTAGAAATTTGGAAAGTTTGTGGATGAGTCTATGGTTTGGTTCGGGTTAATTTAGTTTTTCATTTTATCACCATATTGAATCAAAACATTTAATTTTTCTTTAGTTTTGATTAAATTCGAATAATTTCAAATATTTTTGGTTCATAATATTAGTATAAATCGATTTGGTTTAAAATAAAAAATGAGCTAACCAGTTGTTAAATGGAACTGATTTGATAACTTAATTAAATTTAAAAAGACTTGACCATAATCTAAAAACCAAAAAATTTGGTTTGATGCATACGAAAATTACCATAACATTACTAAACAATTTAATATCCAAACTAGAAATTGTTAAATCGCGAATAAGATGTTTTAAGTGTCTACAAAAGCAAAATGACGTTGTTTGGTTAATATTTAATCAAAATTTTAAATAACACTGTTTAAAGAGTTAACAAACATTTATTATTTTAATCGAGTTTAAAGTTGACTATACAGATTTTTTTAATGGCTGAATCAACAAAATATTAGAGTTAAAACGAGCAATATTTGAAATCCTAAACTTTTTAGCTCAAACATGAATTTAAGATGTTTTGTTTTGTTTTGATTTGAAACAGGGGATTGATTGAGAGAGAATCGAAGAAGGAACCTGAAAGCGCGAGAGAGAAGATTTGAAAAAGGCGGGAGATAG